CTGGCCACAAAGTTCATGACAAGCCACAGGATATGGTGCTATGCATCACGTGCCTGTTTCCCCCAGCCCTTTGTCTTAGCTCAATTTAGCCACATGCAAAAGACTTAAGCCCAAGACCCTGAGCCAGAACCATCACCCAGGGCATCTCCACAGTTCGTGCAGAGCCAGCAGCTGCCTCTTCACCTGTAGCGTCCTTGTAAAGAACAGGATAAAGCTCCTGTGGGCCAGCAGCAGCCAGGAGAAACCTGGTCCCAGTCCAGATCTAAATCAGAATCTGTTTTTAATAAGACCCTCCAGTGGCGCATATGCTCGCTTAAGTTAGAGAAGCGCTGCTCTGGGAGGGATGGGAATGGGGAGGGGTTGTAATAGCACTAATAAATTATCTGAGATGTTTGACTATGGAAACTGTACTTAGAGGCTGTTAAAGGGGTGGGGAGAATCTGTGATGGGAACACAGAAAATCAAACAAAGGAAATAAGATCAATCATTTAACTCCCTCCCTTACCCATCTCCCCTAAGCACACACAAAAAAATTGCACAGGAAAATAAAAGTAATTACATACAAAACTTGGTTTCATAAAAATATAGCCACATAACCATGGTATAGGAAACATTGAACAAAAATGGCATACTTCTATTGGTGATCTAAAAGAATGGTGTTAGTCAGGGTTCTCGAGAGAAACAGGATCAATAGGATATATATTAAAGAAGGTTTATTAAGAAGGATAGGTTCATGTAATTATAAAGGCAAAGAAGTCCCACAATCTGCCCTTTGTAACCTGGAGGTCCAAAAAAACTGGTGGTGTAGTTCTGGTCCAAACATGAAGACCTGAGAAGCAGGGGAGAGAGTGATGTAAGTCCAGGCAGAGTCCAAATGCTAGAGAACCGGAAGTGCCAACATCTGAGGGCAAGACCTGGAAGTTTCAGATCAGACAAAGAGCAAATTCACCCTTCCTGCATCTTTTTGTTCTATTTAGGCCCTCAAAGGACTGGATGATACATACCCACCTACATTAGTGAGAGCAATTTCCTCACTTACTAATGCAAATACTTATCTCTTCTGGCAATATCCTCACAAACATAGCCAGAAATAACACTTTACCAGTTACCTTGTAGACCTTAGCCCAATCAAGGTAACACATGAAATCAACCATCACAAGAACTAAATCATCACTGACCATACTAGAGCATCAAAAAGTAATATCTAAAAATTAATTCATCAAGAAATAGCAACATAAATTGTTCCTCTTGAGAATGAATACCTAGATAAATACCAGATAAGGCAACAAAACATTTGAAAAGGCTGTTTCTAGGGAATGAGGACGCATATGGTGAGACTGGTGATTTTCTTATAAGCTCTTTATACTATAGATTAAAAAAAAAAAAAAGCTTTGTATGGATGACCTTGACGGAATAGAAACTGACTGTTTCTTTTTTAAAAAATGCTAGTGGTTACCTCAGTAAAATGCAGTTGGAGGTCAAGTAAGACAAGGGTGAGAGTAATCATTGGCTCTGACTAGTTTATAATATCGGGAAATTTGAATGGCGTGTGACGAAAAGCGGAGTGGGGTGGGGAGAAGCCCTTCTATTTTTGCATTCAATTTGCTCTTATACAGAGCACATCACATTCTTCAGCCCAAGTCGTTTCATGTCTAAGAGAAAAAATTTATGTGTCTAGTCTCCAGAACAGCAGGAAATTGCTCATAGCAGCCCCACATCACAAAGGCACCCCACAAACAATGGGAGTCATGACAGGTAGGGGCATTTAGAATCTCTGTTCGTTGATGGAGCCTGGAAAATTCAGAGATCCTGTCCAGTGTTGTTGGTTTCTGTTGAAATGACTCAGATATTATCCACCGGAACCTTGGCTGCCACATAATAGCTTGAGTTCTATTAGCTCTCTATTTCCTGGCTCCTTTCCTTCAGTCTAGCTCTCTTAGGTGAAAATAAGTTCTTCCCCCTCCCCTCTTCCCAAATTATTATTAGATATTTTGACAATGCAGAGCAAGGGAAAGAAGTCTAATCAGAATGAATTAAGGAGAGGAAACATCAGTGATATTTGTGAAAGTTAAGCAAAAACGAAAGCTGAAAATGAAGCGGCTACATCTCAAACTAGGAAAGCCAAGGACTGGTTCATGTGATTTACGCTGCAAATTCTGCTTCGGTCTATATGCTGATAAGAGATCAGAGAGTATGAACTCAAAGAGCTCAGTTTAGGAGGGGAAGAGAGACTTGGAAACAAAGACAAAAATAAATGCATGTGCATCTCGGAGTAGGATTCAGGTCACGTTCATGCCAGCAAAGAGGGATCAGGAAGTTGTCCATGTCACAGGATAAACCTGGCCCATCTTCCTGGAGAATCGATTTCAGCTGGAGGGGGTAAAGTCTAGTCAGAGTCACATTTCTTTTGAAATTTCACATTTAATGCAGTAAAATGTTTTAATTTACTTTAAATGTTATGATAAGACTGAAGACTTCAGAAGTGTTTCTCACGTGAGCTAGCCAATGCTGGGAGACTAGGGAGAAAAGGCAAAGAGAAAGGAAGCAGGAAGGCCACTAGATCTTATAGCATTTTCTTGACCAGATTAAGGTGCTTGAACTGGATGCTGGGGTCACTAAGCAGTGCAGACATTTTTAAGCAAAAAGTGACAAGATCAGATTTGTATTTGAGAAAATTCATTCTCCTGGCACTCGGGCATATTCACTGAAGGAAATGTCTTTTTTCTTTTCTTTTCTCTTTTTTGAGCAGTTCTCTTTTGTTGGTCTTGATCACAGTCTCAATTAAAAGGCAAAGAACAAATGAGTGGTGAAGGGTTTTTGCCACAAATATAATACAGAGATGATGTTTTCAATTTTTAAAAAAGTCACACATATTGATTTTTTTAAAAAAAAGCACCAGACTCTGTCAAAAAAAAAGGCAGTTACTTGAAAAGTTTACTTCCAAAATATATTAAAATGTATAAATATGAAAAATGACCAACCTCACTATCATATTAATGCATAATAAAGTAATAATTTGGTCAGTTTCCTCCAGCCCATTAGTGATGAGGAGGAAGAACAGACCTCAGTGCTGGTGAGAAGGACATTTCCACTGATGGTGTGATTGGATTGACATTTCAGGAAGAAGCTTTGACAGTATGTTCATACCCTTTGGCCTAATGATGGTATTTCTGGGAATTCAGCAGAAAATGTATCAGTAAGTTAACAAAGATGTGGACAAAGACTTGTGTATAAACTGCACTATTTATAATAGGCAAAAAACCCAAGATGTGCCATGATCTCAGGAATTATAGGAACCTTCAATATGATATAATATAGCTATTAACAGTGTTGCAAATTACATAAAAGCGTTAGTTAGTCGCTCAGTCATGTCTGACTCTTTGTGACCCAATGGACTGTAGCCTGCCAGGCTCCTCTGTCCATGTGATTCTCCAGGCAAGAATACTGGAGTGGGTAGCCATTCCCTTTTCCAAGGCATCTTCCCAACTCAGGGAACGAACCCTGATCTCTGGAACTGCAAGCAAATTCTTTATGGTCTGAGCCACCAGGGAAGCCCAAATTATATAAAAGTATATCAAATTATAGAAAGCATCAGTTCTATCACTGGAGGCTATCATTACTTGTTGACATTATGAGTGATTTCTACCTTTAAAAATACATATCTTTAAAATGTTTTCTATGACAATAAGGGGTTTAACCCAAACCAGGGAGTTGTAGGCCTCATAAATTGCTTTTAGGGAGGTAGCTTTGCAGAGAGGCAACTCTGGGCCCTGAAAACTGAATCATACCCATGCATTCTCAGCCTATCTTTAGTTTTCAGCTCATATAAATAATAATAGAATAACAACTTCCCCTCTTCTAAATCCCTATTATATGCTAAGCACTTAACATACTTAATCTCATTTAATCTTTGCAACACTACTCCAAAGAAGGTATTATTAACAATATTTCCATTTTAGAGATTAAAAAAGTGAGGACTGGAGATGGCCCAAGGCTTTGCATTTTATTTTAGTGTTTTCTTAAATCCTCTTTCTTTTTCACTCTGTCCCCTTCTGTAAACAGATTATCAATGCATATCCTAATTTCTAAACTGAAGACCACAAATCCATAGACCCTTCTCCTCTCTGGAACTTTTTTTTCCCCCAAAGTAAATACATCAGGGATGAGGAGGGAGTGTGTTGGGGTGGAAGGGTGAGGGGAGGCAGGCTTTCCTGAGAGTACTTCCCCCTTCCTTCTCCTTTAACTTTTGCCAATGGGGCCACAACCAGCTTTCTCATTTGGTAGCAGAAGCTTGATGGTGCCTTTTCCTCCAATATCAGAGGTCAGTATCTGGGATTATTCTCACCCCCTGAGAGAGCCAGCAGCCAGAGTCATTTTCTCTTTGCTGGGCTCCTTCCTCCCTAGTCCCAGGCCCCCTACTCTTCAAGCCCTTTAGCTCTCTTCAGCTCCCCTTTCTTGTTCTGTCTCCCCCAGCCTTTCTTCTTTCCTGCTCCTGCTTATTTACCTGGTCTCCATCTCTGCCTCCATCACTGTATCTTTATTATCATTGCTAAAAGCAGATGTCAAATTATTGTGTTTGAAAAAAGAGATTTTTCCGACACAGTGGCTCCAAGACTTGTCTATTTATAATACATGGAACCGTTAATGGATACTATGCATCACAATTGCCTTCTCCTAAGACTCTCTTGGGCGCTTAGGGCCCATTTTGCTGTTTTGGACAGACATGACTGGCTAACCTGTGTGGTTAGGTACTACCTAACCTGGGTGGTAGGTGGATGTGTGCTGACGGCAGCCTAGACTGAAAGTCTGCCCATAGCAGAAGGAGAGGAGGAAGCTTAAGGTGCAAATGATGCTTTCCAAGTTGAAAAGAACGGCTGGGAGGATGCAGGAGCACGGTGTCTCAACAACCACTAGTTATTGCCTATTCTTTCATCTCTCCTAGGCTGAAGTTCCCAACAAACTCAAGCCCACCAGCATCTTGCTGCCCAGAAAGGTTGGAGATGGCAGTCTTTCCAAACTCCTGCCTCCCAGGGTGTCTGCTTATTTTCATTCTCCTCCAGCTGCCCAAGTTGGATTCTGGTAGGTCCGGAAACCATCAGACTTGTTCTCCAAATCCCTTTTAGGCTGGAAGGGGTTGGCAGGCCTAGACTAGGAGATAAGTAGGAAGAGGGTTTGAGCTGAGTAGAGAGGGAGCCGCGAATTATCTTTCTGGGTGGAACTTTGTTTCAATGATGTCCTGTCTTTTTCTCTCAATTATAGGATAATTTCTAGCCTACAAGCTTGAAATTTCTCAGTAATTGTAAGCAATCCCATTTGGCTGTCCTTAGCGACTTCCCCAAGGGCCCAGATGGACTCCCTGAAGCTGTAGTGGGAGAGTGCCCTTCATTGGGATCCTTGTCTGTATCAGTCCTCAACTCCCACCTCCACATTCCGTCCGACTCTCTTGGTGTTTTGGCAGCTCGCTTTGACGTGATCGGACCCCCGGAGCCCATCCTGGCGGTGGTGGGTGAAGACGCAGAGCTGCCCTGTCGCCTCTCCCCCAACGTGAGCGCCGAGGGCATGGAGCTGCGCTGGTTCCGGGAGAAGGTCTCGCCCGCGGTGTTCGTGAGACGAGAAGGGCGAGAGCAGGAGGGAGAGGAGATGGCTGAGTACCGGGGAAGGGTGTCGCTGGTGGAGGACCACATCGCCGAGGGCAGCGTCGCTGTGAGGCTCCAGGAGGTCAAAGCCTCTGATGATGGGGAGTACCGATGCTTTTTCAGGCAGGACGAAAACTACGAAGAGGCCACCGTGCATCTGAAGGTGGCTGGTGAGTGGATGGGTCTTGACCTTCTCCAGTGACTCCATGCGAGATAATATTTTCCTGTGGCTCTGTTACTTTGGAAACCATCAGACTTGTTCCCCAAATCCGTTTTAGGCTGGAAGGGGTTGGCAGGCCTAGAGTAGGAGATAAGTGGGAAGAGGGTTTGAGCTGAGTAGACAGGGAGCAGCGAATGATTTTTCTTCTTGGAACTTTGTTTCCACGATGTCCTGCTTTTTTCTCTCAATTGTAAGATAATCATTTCCCCCATGTTAATAATTAAATAAGTGTAAGAAGTAATGACTGTATAACATTCTCTTCTATTAGTGCATCACAATTTGCTTGGTCAAAGCCCAAAATTGAGCATTTAAGTTGTGTCTGCTATTCACCATTTACAGTAAGGCTGTAGTGAGCAACCCCAATGCTTACTTGGTGGCTTTGTACCCAAAGATTGATTTTGTGAGATTGTAGAACATAGTGGCTTGTTAAGGGTCTTGACCTACCTACAAAAGTTTTGGTTTTGTTTCTTTTTTGCTTCAAGCCAGAATTCAGAGCTAAACTATAAGGAAATGGTAAACACTCAGAAACAAAGTACATTTTGAAGTCTGATTTTCCCACCTGGCACCAAGCAAGTTTCTTTCTGAGCTATATTTCCTACCGTAAAACTTGCTGACAAGATTTTGCAAGAATGAAAAAAAAAAAAAATCAATATAGGAACTTCCCTGGCGGTCTAGCACTTCCAATGCAGGGCGCATTGGTCAGGGAACTAAGATCCCTCATGCCTGGAATATGAGAAACTGCTTTGTCAATTTTAAAAGCATTATATATTTGTAAAATATTACTGTGCAATGTATATTGCTTTTTATGCATATATTCAAATAAAGATGAAGTTTGAAAAATACCTGGGTGAAATGCAGGTCCCTGTTTCATAACAGGGTGTCCCACATGGTAGCATCATATATAATTTATCTTTCCTTTTTAAGGAAGTTTCTTAAAGACTGGTTATAAAGCCCTAGAGATTTGATAGCATAAAACTGTCATTGTTACCTTTTACGAATGATAGACACCTTTGAGAATCTGCTGAAAATGGTGGCCCTTTTCATGAAAAGAATACACATTCTCACATATATACATAATATATGGAATATGACTTGGAATACGACTTTAAGCCAATAGTTGTTTCATCTCTGATAAGATATCTTCTTTTATGGAAACCTCAGTTCCTTTGTGTAGTAAAACATGGAGATGGGTCCCTTTCATTTCCAGTTCCTTTAGGCTTCTTTTTCTCAAACTATATAGCCCTATGGTTATAAGGCTCTCAGAAGGGTGTCCATTAAAGGAGTAAGGCGAAAAATAAATAAATAAATAATAAAGGAGTAAGGCGCCTTCTTTCTCCATAGCTCTGGGCTCTGATCCTCACATCAGTATGGAAGTTCAAGACAGCGGAGAGATCCAGCTGGAATGTGCCTCAGTGGGATGGTACCCAGAGCCCCAAGTACAGTGGCGAACTCACAAGGGGGAAGAGTTTCCATCCATGTCAGAGTCCAGGAATCCTGATGAAGAAGGTTTGTTTACTGTGAGAGCTTCAGTGATCATCAGGGACACCTCCATGAAGAATGTGTCCTGCTGTATCCGGAACCTCCTTCTTGGCCAGGAGAAAGAAGTAGAGATTTCCATACCAGGTCAGTAAAACAGGTGCTAGGTTCCTTTTTGACACAGTTTCAGGGCAACATCACGTGGGACATCTGCCCAGCCACAACCTCCTGGCAGACTTGTCTATTTTCCTCACCTTAAACTTTCCCCACCCAAACTCCTGCCCGCTGAGCCCCACCAACTTCACTAGAGATTCTGAAGGCATAAGTTTTATACGTAGATCTCACAGACATTCCAGATTTTCCATCTTAAAAGATGTATCTTAGATAGGAAAGTCTTCCAGATTTTCTTAGGAGATATATCTTGGAAAAGCTTTGTCTCTGAAGGGTGTGGTCTTCCTGATTCAGAGCCTTCTGGATCTAGCAAAAATTAGCTCTCCTCTTTCCACCCTTACCTCCCCCTCCTCCCTATCTCATGCTAGAGCTCTAAGTTTCCAGAGTCTTCACACTCTACCTCTGGTTCCTCCAGGAACTTTTCCTTATTCTTGGGTCATTGAGTCCCCTTCTGTTGCACACAGAAGTGATATTTCCCCTTCCTTATTTACTTCCTTCATCCCCTTGGCTCCCATCCTGCATTGATGGCTAAGGAGAAATTTCCATGATAACATGAATTGGTCCATTATATTCTTTATTCCACAGGTCCTGTCCCTAAATGACTCTTCTTCATCTTCATTCCTCTTTTTCTCTGCTGTCTCTTACCTAAGACCAAAATTTATTTGAAAACCTCAGAGTGGTATTGGAGGGACTCTCTTGCTATGGGAGGAATGTGAGAGGTCCAGATCATCCTCTCTTCCAGCCCCCTTTGGAATCAGGAGAGGAGCTAGATCTGCTCTGAGTTTCTCAACAGATGTCCTTCTTGGGGATTTTGTTCTAGCCTCCTTCTTCCCAAGGCTGACTCCCTGGATGGTGGCTGTGGCTGTCATCTTGGTGGTCCTAGGACTTCTCACAATTGGGTCCATATTTTTCACTTGGAGACTATACAAGGAAAGATCCAGACAGAGGAGGAATGAATTCAGCTCTAAAGGTAAGTCATAGAATCCCAGTCTACTTGTCAGGAGTGCTTCCACATGAGGTCAAACCCAAGTCCTTTAGGATGACTGCCAATGGGAAGATAATTGATTCCAGAATTCTAAAAATCAGAGGGGATTATAAAGCTCCTGAATTTAGTGGCATCCAATATGAAGAATAACAGAGGTTTGGGTATAAGATGAGTCAAAAGCAATTCTAATTGAGATAATAGACCTGATGTTTATTCATTGTTAACCTTCAGACTCTGTCCTTACTTTTAACTTGGTTTCTCAGTAATGATTAAAGATCTGATACCAAGAGAGTAGGAACTTCCTGCATATTTCTTAGAAAACAAAACAAAATCCTTGTTCTTCATTTGTTGATAATGCCTCAATAATCAGGTAGTCATGAATTAAACGGTTTCTCCATTATCTGTTTCTCACACCTGTTTTGTCCCCCACCACACACCCAGGCTAGAAGGTCATTAAGGTATTTCTGTTTGTTTTCCAGAGAAACTCCTGGAAGAGCTCAGTAAGTTCTATGTTCTTGTTCTTTTTTCATCCACAAAGTTGTCTCTCTCTTACTATAAACATGTCAATAACACTCTTTCCCCTCCCCCACCCTCTCTCACTACAGAATGGAAAAAGGCTACATTGCATGCAGGTCAGTGACTCTGAATATCTTAAGGGCTCTGAGGTGCTACCCTGCGGGTATTCAAAGTCCTCCAATACTTGGAAATAGAAACCACTAATATATAGAGGGGAAAGGTGATGGCAAATGGCCTCAACATTATCCTTGAGGCACATAAAGGGCCCTTGGTAGATGGCTAGAAGGCTAGTTCCCTCTGACAGGGTCCCATGGGGTACTGGGGACAGTCAGTTGATACATCACCCTATGGCTGTGGATGGAAGAGGGGAAAAGAGACAGCTGAGCAGGCCAAGCAATTCCCTTCCTGAGAAGACCTGTCAACTGCTAGAGCAGGTCTCCACTTCTTCAGAGAAGAAAGGATGGTTCTTTCAACCATCAGTGACATTCACTGATATTCAGACTCACTTTCTTTCTGCCTCTAGTGGACGTGACTCTGGATCCAGATACTGCCCACCCCCACCTCTTTCTGTATGAAGATTCAAAATCTGTCCGACTGGAAGATTCACGTCAGAAACTTCCTGAGAAACCAGAGAGATTTGACTCCTGGCCCTGTGTGATGGGTCGTGAGGCCTTCACCTCGGGGAGACATTACTGGGAGGTGGAGGTGGGAGACAGGACGGACTGGGCAGTTGGGGTGTGTAGGGAGAATGTGACAAAGAAAGGATTTGACCCCATGACTCCCGAGAATGGGTTCTGGGCTGTGGAGCTGTATGGAAATGGGTACTGGGCTCTCACCCCACTGCGGACCCCTCTCCCACTGGCTGGACCCCCCCGCAGGGTTGGGGTCTTCCTTGACTATGAATCAGGAGACATCTTCTTCTACAACATGACTGATGGATCCCATATCTATACTTTCTCCAAGGCCTCTTTCTCTGGTCCCCTCCGGCCCTTCTTCTGCTTGTGGTCCTGTGGTAAAAAGCCCCTGACTATCTGCCCAATCACTGATGGGCTTGAGGGAGTCACAGTAGTTGTTGATGCCAAGGACATTTCGAAGGAGATCCCACTGTCCCCCATGGGGGAGGACTCTGCCTCCGGGGATATAGAAACCCTCCATTCTAAACTAATCCCTCTCCAGCCCAGCCAAGGGGTGCCTTAAGAAATACTCCAGCTCAGCTCTTTCCCTCTACTCTAACCCCCTCTTCCACCACTCCCAGGGCTTCATCTGCCAGCTTTACTCAGCCCCTGTTTCTTCCTGTTGGGTAGGGATTAATTAATCTTGAGAAGGTTGTGTTGCTGCTGATAGAGTGTGAGGAATAGGCCCTTCCTAATCTGTTCCTGTAACAATAGTCAAGGGGCAGGGAGGTGACTCAAACTGCTTCTTATGGTCTCCCATCCCAGAGGCCAAATCTTCTAGAGAGGGAATTGCAGTTCGGGGATCAAGATGGAGTTAGGTCGGCATGGGGTTATGACAGAAACATCTTGGTGTCCAGGATAGGGGTTATAGAGGAATAGGTTTTAAGGAAGGAGAAAACCCAAATGGTTCTGGGAAGGAAAAACCAGTGGCTGAAATCCCATAAAAGAACTTGGAGGGGACAGCATGATAGAGGAAAATGAGGTGAACTCAGGCCAGCAATGGACATCTGACTTGTCCCTGGAGTTATAGGGCCCACATCTCAGATTTTCTAAGTCATTCCTACAGGGTAGATCTGAGCAATGGGAAGGGGAGTAAAGAAGGTGAGGAGGTCAGATAGAATGAGAGAGGAGAGAATTTTAAACAAAATGCAAAGGGGCTCTTTCCAACCTCACTTTGCTGATTCCACAAGTTGCTGGTTCTCTTCTTCCTTTTGATCTAGAATCTCTCCACTTTAGAGGCATTTTCAGGCATCATCTTTCAGTGATATCACCACTTTATTGGCTCTCATGGCCAGTGGCCGTGTCTCACCAACATGTGGTTTAAAACTGCTCAACCACACCTTTAATTAGGTTTAACTACCATCCACTTCCATACTGAGCCACGAATCACTCTCTCCCCACCCAGCTTTCCTACTTGCTGCTTCTCCTCAGGGTACCCCGAAAGCTGCGTCACTGTGCTCAGCACAGCTAGATTGATTCCACTTGTTTGTATTTGCATTTTCCTGTATATGTGTGTCTTGTCCAGGCTCCCACCTTCAATTTCCATTGGGTTTTCCAGGATCAATGTCGCCCATGGCCTTAACCTAATAAATAAGTCTGTCTGATTGTTGAAAACAGCTTCTGCACCTCCCTTTCTTTATCCAACAAATGGAACTGACACAAAACAGAGAGAAGAAACCTGTATGGGAATGCAGTGGGTCAAAGCACTGTGGTTCTGTTGATCCAAGACCCATCCCCAGACCTGATGGCAGTAGGCTCACTAGGGCAGGCAGCACAGGGCCTCCTGTCCCAGGAAGGGCCAGCTACTTACAAAAGGCCACAGTGCCAGCGGCTACCCACCCTTAGCCTCTGGAGGAAATATCTGGTGATGCCTCATAACTGGAAAAACAAACTTGGCTGATCCTCCTTTCCTTGCCCCTTCCTCAAGCTGTATTCACCCTACCCTACAATGGACTCCTGAGAGAAGACCACCATTTACCTCTGCTTTCAAAGTATTCATTTATGCTCAAATTGTACTTTTAGAAAGTAAAAGATTTTTTTAAAAGTCCAAACTTCTTTAAAAAATACATCAGAATCTTAAGTAGTTGTTTTGCCAGTTTAATGTACAATGCGTATCCTAAAATGTATATATAAAATCTCACCCTAAATAAATGGGGCTGCCACAGGAACCCTGCTGGGGTCCAGCCTCAGCAGGATCCAGGGGTACCCTCATGATGAACGGCATCAGCGAGAAAAGGAGAGAGAGACCAGACTGGAGGGGTGTAGTAAAGTCTGGCAAATCTTTATTTTTTTACCGTAGCTTTTATATTCTAAGTTAGTACATTTTTAAGGGGAAGATAGTTTAATTTTACATCAGCTTATCCTTCATGAAACCAGGGGGTTTTCTGCAAATTCTTTGTGAGAGTTTTATAAATTATCTTCTGGCCTTGGGGCCTATTGACATTTTGTGAATTAGGTGAAAGCAAAGCTGTTTTTCGTAATCTATTCTTTAATGAACACAAAAGTCAGTCCTCTTGCAGAAGTTATCAGTTAAATTTATCTAAAAGGTTTACCACACAAAGACTCTGCAGCTCCGGTGAGGCAGCCCCTGTTTAGCATTCCTGGTTACGATGAACAATTCTAAACTCTTATTTTTCTAAATCTTTAACTCTAACCACTTTTAGAATATTTTTGTGTTCTCTAATAGGGCTTCCTCACCCCCCCGAAGGGCTCTGTGCCTATTAGGGCCTTTAGTGTGATTGCTGTTCATGATTAAGGTGTTGTGAGCAGTCATGTACATTAATACGCATTTGCCAAGCAGGCTAGAATGCCAGCAAAGGGGTCTAAATGGAAACACTCCTTTCATCCTGGATAATCTTACAGGATACCACCGTCCGGAGGACATATCAACTAAAGTTCTAGGTTGATTCTGTTTGGAGAGAAATCGGGGAAGGCCTTCTACCCGTGTCACAGAAATTAGGGAGTGGTCTAATATAGCAAGCATCAGAAAGACAGAGATCATCTTTAAGGTGGGCGCCGGGGCAGCTTTTTGAAATCCCTAAGTCCTGATCTGCCTTGCTTGTCAGGCTTTCTCCTCATGACCTTGCTTGCTTGTCAGGCCTTCTCCTCATGACCTTGTCATGGGTGGGATCTCGTGTGCTGGCTCCCAGCAGAACCCCTCTCTGAGAGTAGAAAGAGAAATAGTCAGAGGTTTCAATTAGCTCTGCAACAGCCCTCACCTTCCTATATCCTCATGGTCTTCAAGGAAAATGGTTACGAAACACAGTACTGAGCTGGCAGTAGATTCTGAACTTAAGTGATAAGCCTTGCAGCTCCCCTTCCATCTGGCACCAGATACCAGTGCCTGGAGGAGAAAATTAACAGTCTTGGTAGCTCTGGCCTTATTTTCAAATCTTCCGAAAGAGAAGAAAGGTGGCCTTGCTGATGCTTCATCAAAGACTGTTTTAATGACCTGAAGCAGAATCAGTGATGCTGTGGTTTCAGAAGGTCCAGAAAGGCCTCTTCCACCACTGCAAATAATTAACTGTAGTATTTCCAAGACCTGACTTTCTTTTTAAACCAGAAACTAAAACCTTTCACCCCACAGCTAAAGACCAGCCTTATAAATGCAAATGCTCCTGAAATAATAGTAACAGGACTTCATTTCACACACCAAAAGCCAACTCTGGTCATCACATGTTTGAAAAGGTCTGCCTCTCTTTAAAAGAGATTTAGATATTCACATTAAGAGAAAAATAACTGTGCAACTCCTATCATCACTAATCAACAACAGCTCTTCCGTGCCATCTCTCTGCATATCCCTATTCATCTGCTCCTTCTGCCTCCAAACAACATTCAGGTCTCCTCAAATTGCCCTCTGGAAAACTCCAAGTCGACTCTCAACTATACGTGCCTTTACTCTTGCCACTCTAAAATTTAAAATGCCACTTTAAAATTTAAAATGGAAATAGTCTTTTTCCTTGAATAGATATGAAAGTTAATTTTAAAAAGTAAAAATGACCCCAAATCTCACTCAAATATAACCAATACCAATATTTGGGTTCATCCTCTCCTTTAAAAAATAAAAAGAATCTGTATTGTTTAGTTCAAAAGACTTAAACTAAATACTTTTTGAGGAGTGTGTCAAACTAGTTGGAAAGTCTTTGAGGTTCAGCTTTGCTGGACATAAACACAGATGTACGAAAACCTTGCGAATTAAGGGAAGATAGAGTGACAACCTTGTAGAAAGAGAAAGGCAGAACTGGTTTTAGTTTGATGCCTCCTTTTTGAGAGCAGCATAACATCCATTCAGAAAAGTCCACAAATCCTCAGGGTACAGCTAGAAAATTCAGATCAAGAAGCAAGACACTGGGACCGTCTTACATAGGTCTCGAGGGTCTAGCGGACAGAAAGAAAAGGAGAGAGGAGTTAATGAGCACCCGAGGGCTGGGTCCCAGCAAGCACCAAACTGAATAGCGTAAGCCTTCCCAGGAGCAGGTCAGTTTAAGTAAGGCAGTTTCACTAATATGGGTGCCATTATATAAACAAGAATTCTGTCGAGAGTGGAGAGAAATTTCCCTTACCCTTGGGTACCCAGCCCAGCGCCGCCCCTCCGGCTGCAGCCTGGAATCGAATCCGCGTTCATTCAGAAGACACTGCCCGGCGGCCCCCTCAACCCGGCACTTGACTCCGTGTTTCCACTCGGGGTCGGCGTCCGGGGCCGTACGTAAACTGGTGGTCGCCTTTTTTAATTGAAAAATTTCCGCATCCTCAGAAAAAGGGGAGGGGAAAAAAAAAAAAAAAAGACTATCGTTCATGTAGACATTGAAATGAAATTTGAGGGCAGCCTGAAGACAGCGAGTCAGGATGGCCGAGCGGTCTAAGGCGCTGCGTTCAGGTCGCAGTCTCCCCTGGAGGCGTGGGTTCGAATCCCACTCCTGACAGTGCGTACGTTTTTGAATCGGTCAAACGGCTGTATCACCAGCCTTCCCCCACGTTTAGCCTGTAGGCTAATCTGTTTTTCCTTTTTTCCTAAATTATCCAAAATAAAAAACAATTTTAAATATTAAAGAAAAGAAATTAGCCAAGTTCTAAAATGAAAGCACTTTGTACCCAGAACACAAGTTAAGATCCAATCATTTTAACCTCCTTTCCCTGTCTCTAGCTGTCTGTCCCTCTCTCCTTTACATTCAAGGAGTTGAATAAAAGTTACTCCTTTCACTGATGTCTACAGGGTCATTCTTTTGTTTTATTTATTTATAGATTCCTTTTTAATTGCCTTTCTTCAATTTTAATTCTCATCTCCCACTCCCCCTTAAGAAATCATTGGAAAGACCATCCTTTTCTTTCTTGCTGTGTGTTTTTGTAGAACACATTTTTGGTTTCACTAGATACATTTTTAATTTACATAAATGCCCCTGTGTCATATATCTCATTCTATTTTTACTTTGTTCCTTTTGGCCACAGTTTTTTAGCCTATGTTGGCATACACCTAGATCATATCTAGAACAATTACTTTCAGTTACTGTGGGAGACCAGGGTTTG